GTGGAGCAATTTGAAATCAACAAGGAAGTAGTTCCGTGGTTTTGCAGGGGGTAGGCCCGCCTAAAAATATAGAATTTCACAACTAACTTGTAAGTTAAACATCATAAAAATTAAATATTGTTTTAAACTAATAATATTGTAGAAATTAATGGTGTGAGAAAAAAAATGTTAACAACAGAAAGAAGTTATTACCCAAAGTGACGCACTCGCTCGTAATGAGTACTAAGCACGTGCGGCTGAAAGCGTGATCAAAACTTCATTTTTTTAAACAATTGTTTATAATTGTTGATTAGGTAACAATATTCAATCATTCATGTCCAGTGAAAAAATTTTTTTTAAATGCATTTTGTATAATTATAAGAAATATAGTGAAATATATTAGAAAATTATCAAAATCAACTCTGACTGAAAACTTATCGTTTTGCTTCGCAGTCTTTCAATTTTAAACGTTTCATAAGAACCAGAAGAAATATCAAATTAGAAAATTATTTGAGATTAAATTAAAAAAAAACGTATTTTATTCGTGTACTGATAATCTACATTTCTAAATTGCTTAGAGACGATTACGCTTCAATTGCCATTGTCGGCAATTATATACTTTGGTACAATTTTGTTTTTTTCCAGTGGAAATTCTCGTACCGATTTGGAAACAATATTAAAACAATCCGTGTGATGTAAAAATGTAACCTTTTGAAGAAAAAAAAACGTGGCTCATCTTTACGATGATTTTTTAAATGCATGCGTTACAGTAAATTATTCAAACAAACATATACAGATAAATTAACAAAACAAACTTTTACAATTAAATAAGTAAATAAATTAATGATATTTTAAAAAAGCTTAATAGTTTTCTTCTTGGCAAAGCGTCGTCTGAAAAAGGCTTTATTATAATATAAATTGAGCATACAAATTGTTTTATCATTGATAAAAAAATAATCAGGATATGGATACGTTGTTGCTGTTGTTTCTAATGAAACTTGTCAATTAACCGACAAGCTTGCTTGATTAAACCAAGCGAATTAGGGGCAGAAGGTGCGCTTCTTGTTTCCAGTGGCGCCATCTATGCCCAAGAATACTTCTTCAATCATAGCCCGTTTTACAGGGTGAACCCATTTGTACATCCATTCATCTACAGATCGTAATTTTGATCTGAACCAGAGAATGATCGATTTCCAATTCAGCACCCCCAGAGGTATTGATTTGTTATGGGACTATATTGGAGGACTTTGTGTCCAGATAGATTTAACGTGCACAAATCATCAGTTACTGCAGGGGGATCATACTCACGACCTCTTGGACATGGACCCAATGCCCTTCCCACCAGGCCATTGGATTTGTACTCTAGTGTATTTGCTATACTAATATAAGAATTTTTTTATTGCAATTCTGTTACCTATTTTTTTTTAATTCTGAAGTGAATGTTTGCGACAAAGGCAATTTAGTGTCTAACATCATACATTCCGATGCTATATCAGTAAAAATAAGCAATACCCAACCATTCGTTTCTTAGTTGTTTACGAGCGTCTTTATCGTTAGTGAACAAGTAAAACATACTTTAAATATCAATTTTTTTGACCAATTTCTGCGCAGAAATAATATTTATGCTTTAGTTTTTGTTAAAACATGACTTTAAGTTAAATTTCTGTTCCAGAACTATACAGAACGTTCTGTTCTTGACGTTCCAGAACAATATATTGTTTCTTTGTGATAGGGATTGCCATATTTATCTAAGCACAAGACCAACGACCCAGGGTAACCAACGACTGATAGGTGTGATCTTTCCTTTTTTTCGTTTTTATTCCCTTAAGATTTCATTTGTAGCACTAATCTGCCATCTTAACTCACATTGTAAATTATCCTTAGACCCGGACTTCAAATAAAAGCAGAAAATAAATTTTTGATCCTAAATATATCTGTTATCGTCAATGTAAACCTAACATTTAAAAGAATGCTAAATTACGAACCGATTAATTTGCCATCTCAAAACACATTGTAAAAAATTCTGGATCAAATTACGATATGAAATACCAGCACTTTAGGTGCATCATCCGTGAAATCCTGTTACCGAAAAATCTATTTTGACCGTAATTTTTACAATAATATTTATTTAATTAGTTTAATTCAATGATTTCACGGTAATTATTACTGTAAAAATTACGATATAAATTATACGGTATCAAATTATACGGTATCAAATTACGATGAAAAGTACGGGAACTCAAGGTGCCTGTTTGTTTTACCGTAAAATCCATTTTTAGCGGAACATTTTACTGAACAAAAATCTGATATACCGTAATTTTTACAATAATATTTATTTAATTAGTTTAATTCAATGATTTCACAGTAATTATTACTGTAAAAACCACTGTATGTCAGATTTTTGTTCAGTAAAATGTTCCGGTAAAAATGGATTTTACGGTAAAACAAACAGGCACCTTGAGTCCCCGTACTTTTCACCGTAATTTGATCCTGAATTTTTACAGTACACAGTTCGTAATGTCGTTTACGTTTGGCGCAACATATCTACTTTCTGTTCTTCAACTATTATCTCAACATTCAAAAAACACCCAGATTTGTTTGTTTCATTTCTAATGATTTTCAACTTGATAACATTTTCTGTTGGACGTAAACAACCAATTGAACTTAAAAGAACACGTTATCGATAATTCCTAACAGCACATGAGATCTGCTCCAGTTGTTATAGCCATACTTAATTTTTCACGCTCTTCAAATTCGAACGCTAATCAAATTTGACACATTTTTCTCTCTTCCCGATTTTTAATGTTGATGAGTTTTCATCAAAAGAAACTGCTGCTATGTCTTCTTAAGCCTAACGAGGCAGAAAAGTACAAAGATGAACTGACTCACAGAATCGAATGTAAACTCCGATGATCTCGTTTTTTTTGTTTTTATTCTGTTTATGTTTAAGATATTGAAAAGGTGATTGAAGTGCGGATGCACGGACATACCACTTTCTGGATCCGATTCTCTGAACCCTGAGTTTGGTGTTCCGTATTATACCTTTCTGCGGTACATGAACCGTAACTTAGCAATAAAGAAAGTGTAATAGAACACTTTTAACGCTTCTTTGAGTAAAGGAATGATGTTTTGGAACTTTTTACCTCTTTTTAATATTTTACATTCTTATTTATCATAAAACTTTTCATTCTCACCAAATGCCATTGTTTTACTTTTTGGAAATAGCAACCTGTTGATGAAGGGGGTTGTATAAATATTACGTAAGCATCTAAGGGGATTTTCGAATTTTTTTTAATGATAAAAAGGGAGGGTATAATTGAGCAATAACCCTAAGGCGTTGAACTCTTTTTCACCGCAAAAAATTATTGACGTGAGATTTGAAATTAAAATTTCGCAATTATTTTTTTTTATCTTAGAAGATGTCAAGAATAAAGGTTTATATAAAAAAGTCATAAATAAATAAAAAATGATTGTGGGACAGCATGTGAGGGGAAACCGAAAATCATAATCTGCCAAAGCAAATTTCTTTAAAAACTTATTACAAATTATTATTTAACATAATATGGACCCTCAAAACCAAGCTCAAGTCAGTTAATAAAATTTCAAATTTTGTTGAGCCCAGGATTTTAATTATCATATCACATAATGGTTAATTAAGAATCTGGGACGAAACCTGGTGCCTGTTGCTCCAGACTTGTTCCTTACATGCAATTCAAGTCGTATCTTAAAACTTTAAAATCTATTTTAGGCAAGGAAAAATGATTTTTATCTTTAAATTCCTGTATTATTGTATTGGAATTATTTATTGTTTATGAAACTTATTTCATTATTGTTCATAAATTTTTGTTCATAAAAAATAAATTCAAAATAATCATAAACATGTGGGCAAAATTAGCTTGTGTCTATTTGTTCAAGCTAAGAAAACATAACAGATTTTATTTACTTTTCATTATCCCATCAGTATTTGGACCCTATTTAGAAATGGTCCAAAAGGGATTTATAAATAAGTCTTTTCTATATTAACTTGACTTAAATTATTTTCTAAGAATTCTTCTTTTTTCGAAGGAAGCACGCAATATAACAAGTGATTTGAAGTCCACAGACCAAGTCCAAATAGCAATAAGTTTGTTTATTTTTAATTAATCAATTATTTAAAAACTCGCTAATATTTTAATAACTTTATTTTAAGACATCTAATATTACTTGTTGTTGTTGTTGTTGTTAATTTACGTCGCACTAGAGCTGCACAATGGGCTATTGGCGACGGTCTGGGAAACATCCCGGAGGATCTCATATTACTATACAAAATAATATTTAAACATTGCGAGCTTGGCATTATGAGGTAAACTGTAGCGTAGCTACGACTACAAATATTAAATTCCAATTCACTATTAAGAAGACATATTAACTCGATTGTAGGTTGGGGTACCTTTTCATTTTTGAAGGTTGAGATTGTCGATGTTCACTCCCCACATTGGTGACCCGGACCTGATCTGACCTACCTTGACAGAAACGTCCATTTAGATTTGAACACGCCTACTTCGGTAGATGGTTCTTATGGAACAGTTGACTAGCTACTTGGGAAAGCGACATTTGTGCACCTTCTCACGCCGTTCACACACAACGTCGGCCTGTAATACACTTGACAACACTGGAGCAACCACTGCCGTGAATTTAATACAGCTCTCGCGATCAGTACTCAAAAGTACAGTGATTTTAATACAGTTCTTCCGGCTTCTCACAAAACAGCAATGAATAAACTAGTGTTAACAGTACATCAAATTCCATCACAGATAAAATTCTGGTGGGAAATTACTGTAGCGTTGCTACCACTTCAACTATTGAATTCCAATTCACTAGTACATAATACTTATTAACTCGACTATATGCCGTGATACCTTTTCATAAGTGAAGGTTGACATTGTCGATGTCATACTCCCTATGTAACATCTTGAAAGTGTATTTTTAATCAAAAGATTTTATTGTTCAAAATTAATTGATTTTTTTATTTTTATTTCCAGGTACTGGGGGACGAGCGGATGCAGGTGTGGGACCTGGTAGCTCCCTTTGCTGTTGAACTACATTTACAGGAGCCCCGCCTCTACATGGCTGAGAGCGGGGCACCTGTAGACTATTCAGCACCAGCCACACTTCTCAATGGAGAGCCTTTAATTTTACAGGAAGGCCAAGTGCCATGGGATGCTCGCTCTGGTAAATATATAATCAATTTTCAAAATGAACTTGAATCCTTAAGGCAAAGTGTCTTCAACTTTTATGTCCACATCAATCTACAGATTACTGACATCTATTACATAATATAGGTAAAAAATTCATCATTGGGAGATCGATAACGGTTAATTTTAGCTTAGGGAACCATCTTTTATAAATTGTTAAAATGTGGATATTTTGTTAAGAATTAAAATAAAATTCGATAAAAATTAATATAATTTATTTCATACATTTTTGTCATTGTTTGAAACGCTCAAAATATGATTATTGCTGACATACTGAATATTTATAGTCCTATAATGCAAAACTAGCTATCGCAATATAAAACAAATGATTACCATTTCATTCATAATATTTAGTTTGAAACTAAACTAAACTCAGTGGCGCTACAACCATAAAAGGCCAAGGCCTACTGTGCCCATCTCAGTTTTCTTGACCTTGGACTCTGGAGTGCAGGAGCAGATGTTCCGGTTAGGTGGTCAGCCGAACGCGGAACCCCCAGTGTTTAGTTCCCAAGCATGCTTGGTACTCATTTATCGACCCACTGAAGGGATGAAAGGCTGAGTCAACCTTGCCCGGCCCGAGGATCGAACCTAGGACCTGTGGAACGGAAGCGTGCAGCGCTACCTCTCAACCACCGAGCGTAATATGTAGTTTGGGGTAAAGCTCTATTTCGTTTTTTTTTTCTTCTCAGAAATATTTAATCTTTTCTTTTTCAAATTTTAAATGTACACTGTAAGAATCTTTAAAAAAAATTATGGTAAAAAGTGCTGGGACTTAGGGTATTGGTACGTTTTACCGTAAATTTCATTTGTACCGGAACATGAGAACAGAAAATTTGATTTACCAAAATTTTTTACATCAATATTTACCGTAAAATAACTGAATTACTTTATTTTATGAAATATTACTGTGCATGTTACGGTGAAAATGGATCTTATTGAGGATGCACCGAACGTGCCGGTACTTTATGCTATACTTTAATCTGGAGTTTTTTACAGTGTATGAAAAATTACGCAATATCTTATTGAGCAAAATATGTATACCTTATAGCTCAAACAGCCCTCACCTAATTATACATCATGTCTCCCCTTATTATCTAGGCACTGTTGAAATTATTGGACCCTTTTTTCCCGATTGTATCCACACCTATTCCTTTTCGGGCTATAACAATTCGAATTCGTTGGAGAAAAAAATTATATCTGTTCAGTTTTCATTGCATAATTTGAATACTTTAAGTGCTAGCTTCAAACTATCTAAAAATGAACATTTTGTAAGAAAATCTGTTCATCCAATCTCAAAATGTTTAAATTTTTGTTTTGGGATTGGAATAATTAATATTCATCCCCAATTAATGATCAGTAGCTTATGAAATTCATTTCTTACAGAGGTAAAAAAATAGAACAGAATGCTCTGGGGACAAATAATTAAGGATGATATTTCCGAATTTTGTTGCAGTAGTTGTGTTTATAGCCAAAGCAATATTATTGTATGTTTATTAGCAATATTNCTATAACAATTCGAATTCGTTGGGGGAAAAAATTATATCTGTTCAGTTTTCATTGTATAATTTGAATACTTTAAGTGTCAGCTTCAAACTATCTAAAAATGAACATTTTGTAAGAAAATCTGTTCATCAAAATCTGTTGAAATAATTAATATTCATCCCCAATTAATGATCAGTAGCTTATGAAATTCATTTCTTACAGAGGTAAAAAACTAGAACAGAATGCTCTGGGGACAAATAATTAAGGATGATATTTCCGAATTTTGTTGCAGTAGTTGTGTTTATAGCCAAAGCAATATTATTGTATGTTTATTAGCAATATTTATGATAAACGCGTCCTTCAAACCACAAAATGAAGATGTTAAAAATTTTGTGTTTTGAATGGAAAATGGAAATCTCTTTGCCGGATTTTAAAACTAAATTGATGGCTAGCTGAAGGAAAAGTCTTGTTAGAAATCAAAATTTAATCTCACTTTTTACATTCTGGATCTAATTTTATGGATAGATAGCGGAAATTTAAAACTGAATCGCTACACTGTAAAGAATTCCACATCAGTTACCGTATAAAAATACCAAAAGCCTTAGATGCATCATCCACAAAATCTATTTTTACCATAAAATACTATACCGTAATTTTTACAGTAATATTTATTTGAGTGATTCGGAGATTTTGCGGCAATCACTACGGTCAATCAAATTTCTTGTTCCGTAATATGTTCCGGTGAAAATGGATTTTATTGTAAAAAGTACCGGCATCCTGAGTGTTTTTAACCAGGATTTGATTAGGAATATTTTACAATGGAGCTGGTGAAAGGAATAGTTTTATTTTAAACCAAAATTTCATCCAATTTTTCACATTTTGAAATTAATGAATTATGTGCTTAGTTAAATGCATTCAAAACACAAAAAATAAATAAAAACATTTGTTTTCAAGCATTAATCGAAAAAAATAATTCATTAATATGTTCCGGTGAAAATGGATTTTACTCTAAAAAGTACCGGCATCCTGAGTGCCGGTACTTTTTAACCAGGATTTGATGAGGAATATTTTACAATGGAACTGGTAAAAGGAACAGTTTTATTTTGAATCAAAATTTCATCCAATTTTTCACATTCTGAAATTAATGAATTATGCGCTTAGTTAAATGCGTTCAAAACACACAAAAAATAAATAAAAGCATTTGTCAAACATTAATCGATTAAAATAATTCATTAATCGATTCAAAGAATAACTGCATAAGCGAAGCCATACATTGTATTCTTATCATTCCTCACTTTTTACCCCTTTTTACTCTCTGTTTCTGGAAGACAGTTCTCCTCAGTGTACGTTTACCGATGCCATTGCACAGTTAGAAATTCTTATCAAATAATCATGGGAGATCGATCATTGTTGTCTTATACATTCTCCAACCCTGGCCGCACGACAGAAATGTACAGATAGATAACGATTCGTTTTTTTAGAAGATCACGTCTTTCTGTGTTTTGGGGAACTCAATCTGATTTTGTATTGACATGAAATATAACTATATCCTAGTACACTTGTCACAGCAAATATTTTCTGCAGTCATCACGCCTGCACAGTATGCAGTCATCGCCTTTGGGCTTTAGAAAACTAGCTTTTAGCTTTAATCGTGAGTTTATCAATGTCGTTAACTGTTTTCTGAGCATGAGAAAATGAAATTTTGAGCTTGGAGCTGCTCATTAACGAGCAAATGCTGCTTCAATTTTGAATACATGGGGTTTTCAAGTTCGACTATTATTTTTTTTGGGAGCTAATTTGATAAATTTTTGCTCAATTTTGGGAAATGCCTTTTACAGTGTACGAACATTTACAGTTAAAATATTGTCCCAAGCGGAAATTTTGTTATATTTTAATCATCAAAAATTCTAAGGTATAAAATTTTCTTTATTCTCTGTAACTTTAAAAAATAAATTTAATAAATCATGATTTAATAATTTAAATGACGATAAAAATTTGATTTCGCCAAATTTGAACTTTACAGCAACTAACATGATCAGATAGCTCATGAACGATGAAATTTCAAAAGCAGTCGTATTTTTAACCTTTGAGTTTTCAGGAACTTTTCAAATGATTTTAATCAAATTTTAAAAGGATCCATCAAGGAAAAATATATGAAAACGCAATTTTCAATCTCAGACAAAGAATAGTTTTCCAGAGGGCATTCGTTCAATTTTGCTTTAACTTCATTTTATATGAACATAAAATGCCATCTAAGTACTAGTTCATTTAACAAAATAATAACATTTAAAATCATTTTTCTTTTATAAAGTTAATTTCATTTGCTTTCTTTATAAAAATCTTATTGAATATTCAGTTTTTGAATAGCTGATAAGTAAAATTATCTGGAATGACTCGTAAATTCGTCATGAATAGCTGATGAAGCACAATCGTGATTAAAAATTTTACATATCCCCCTACATTTTATCTTCTCAAAATACTTCCCTGTTTCTGAATCATATGCTTATACTGAGAAAAAAAGTACAGTCAAAACTACCAAAATGAGGTAAAATTTACAGTGTTTCTGACTCTATGGGATCACCAAAAAGCTCGGTGTAATTTTTAGCAAGGAAATTTGGTTATGATTTGGGTAAAATTTTACCATGATACCATTTTACCATGAGCAGTATTTCCCAAACTTATGAATTTTGTGTACCCTTTCTAAATGTTTCGTAACGCTGTGTATTACTAATTAAAAAATGAAAGTATTTTTTACTATAAAAAATTGCACAAAAGTTAAAAATCACAACTGGCTGTTGACACCACTCATTATTAACTGTTAACTCAGAAAATAGCCATAAGAAAAATACATAATCGTAAATTTTCAAGGCTAGCTTTGTTTTCAAATAAAAATTTTTGAAATTTTCTTTTGTTGCAAGATATTTCACGCAAGAACGCATACCCCTCTAAACTGTTCCCGTACCCCTGGGTGTACGCGTACTACACTTTGGGAAACTCTGCCTTAGAGTAAGGCCCAAAAACCATCTATTCGATTAAATTTACTTACGAGTTTTGTATTTATTTTATTCCATATACATGGTAATTAGAACTGTAATTTTGAAACCCAGAATTTTATGTAAATAGCCATTACTATGTAAATGAAAAAATTACCAAATAAAAGGATATATTATGCTCTGATTATCAGAATATTTGTTTCAAAGTGAAACCTGAAGTTTAAACTTGTGTCATACGCGTGTTTTAGCAAGCATTTCTCTTTCCCCCTTTCTTTGTTTAGTCTAAGCCTAAAAATTAACAAATGTTTGGTAAACAGTTTGCAAATAAGGTTGACTTTAAATAAATGAATAAAAATAAGGGAAACGGAAACGACCTCATGCATATCATTGCGGAAAATTACGAAATGCATGATTACACAATTGTAATTCAATCCATATAATTCAAAAAAATTACTTAACACTAGATTAAGCAGATAAAATTTAAATTATTGTAAGGAATTTT